TTCTGTGAAATTCAGTAATTAAGTTAATTCTGTAAAAGTAGTTATACCATTATAATCTTGCCTGCTGAAAAAAAAACAAAAAAACAATAGAACTCCTCCCAAAACACAATAAAAAAGGTAATGGATTTCAGGGTTATAACGGGAATTGTATTGGTTTTAATGTAAACTATAATGGTGCCTATTTGACAGATGCAGCAGCTTTCACACTGATATTTAAATGCCCCAAAGGAGTGACGTGCAAAATTACACATGTCAAAATCAACGAGTTAGAGTGTTCTTGTGATCAAAAACAGCTGGTGGAACCACATTCTGAGGGGCCGTTTACACGACGACATTTTCAGCCAAAAACGGGAAACTTTTAATGCATTTTGCCTGTTTGTTTGGTGGATTTACTTCACCAATATTACAACCAACAGCGGAGACACAGCATATACACAAGGCAACCGGTACGGTTTACTAACAAGGTGACAGCGCCAACTACAGGCCTGGCATATGTAATACAGTGTTTTTGGCCATTTTCGTGGAAATGTGTAGACGCGAATCATTTTGAAAACTGTGTGTATACGTGACATTTTTTAAAAACGCAAGGAAAAAACTTTTCCGTTTTTTACTACATCGTTGTCGTGTAAACGTAGCCTGAATGCAACGGTATACTGTATTCGTAGCCTGAATACAAGGTGACAGCGCCAACTACAGGCCTGGCATATGTAATAGTGTTTTTGGCCGTTTTCGCGGAAATGTGTAGACGCGAATCATTTTGAAAACTTTGTGTATACGTGACATTTTTTTAAAAACGCAAGGAAAAAACTTTTCCGTTTTTTACTACATCGTTGTCGTGTAAACGTAGCCTGAATGCAATGGTCTCTAAACATTGTTCAAATTAAAATTGACAAACTTTTTATTCTAATAATTGTTATAAAAAATTTAAAATAAAAATAGGAACATTTTTACCCAATTAAAAATTCTTAATATTTAGTTCATAAATTTAATAAAGCTAGGCAGTCCATTTAAATGGCTAGTTGGTCATTGCGTCAAAGCACACCACTAAATATAATACAACACAACACTCAACAACAATAACCTTATTAATCACAATGTCACATGCGTGCAGCCCCATCTGTGTGTTACGGTCACTGAAGAATGTTAAGAAATGTTACGGATTAAGCAATGGTCTTTGTTTGTATTTCTTAACTAAAGCCACAGGTATTCAAAACTCCATATTCCCTTTGGCAAATCTTTCCTTCCTACAACTATAAATATTACATGAAATCTATGAATTCAGAGGAGCTTTTCAATTCCACCTTAGGGATATCAGAGCAACAGCACAAGAAACGTACATATTAGTTTAGAAGCGACATGATTAGAAGTTGACTCTATTTGTGACTGCTTTAGGCTTCACTTTGGCATTCAAGGTCTGCCTTAGCAAGCGCTGTGTATTCTCAGATTCCTGTAATATGATTTGTGCACTTTATGGTAGTAACCATACAGACGGTTTGGTTAGGAAAATAACAACGAAAATAAATATAAACCAAACCTACAGAGAACCCGAGACCGATTTTATTGCATTTCCACTGTTACATATATGTAGTGCACCATATGAAAGCAAGAGACCAAAATACTTTTTTTTTTTCAGTAAAATAATTTTAGAAGAAAAATTGCTATTGGCAAAAAAACCTTTTCTTTTGAAACGGACTCAATTTTTCACCCCATGGTAAAAGTTGAATGGCTTTCATCCTGACAAAGAACATTCTGTGAAATCTTTTATATTCAATCCAGTTCCTCAAATTCTCCACTTTACAAAACATTCAGCCTACTGTAAAAAGCTGAAACTATTGAATACCTTTAGGATGGCATTGTCAATTTAGTCAAATTCTGAAAAAAAAGGATACAGACTCATGCTTTTCCCTGGCAAACACACTCTACATTTGTGCATTTGTCTGAGCGTAATACAGAAGATCATTCAGATTCTGACGGGCTCCTCAGCTTTGTTTGGAAACTTCCTTATGTGATTTTGACAGCTGTGACTGAGGCTGTCTGAGCGAGAGCTTAAGATTAGTGTGTAAATATCTGAAGTATGCCAACCACTCATTGTCTGACACTCAGTTCACTCTAGAGGTGCCGAATGACAGGCTAAGCTCATCTGCCTCAATGACCTCCTGATTTACTTGGTCCACACTGGACTAGATCTGATCTGCTTTAGGACAAACGTCTGAGATCTCTCTTACGCCGGGATGATCTGATTTCTGGAACTTTCAGATTAAATACGAGCGCCAAACCGCTAGGGTTCTGGGAGGTTATGAACTCTTGCGATTTGAATACTGTGAGGAATAATAAGGGTTAGATGCTTATTATTTAGTCTTGCGTTGATATTTGTCTCACATCTGGATGGATTCGGTTATGGGGTCATTTTCTCTGGGAACCAAGACTTTTGACAGTCCCCAATCAGCCAGACAAATTCAGATAAGTTATAATCCTTATCCATCATCTGAATATTTGCTAGTAAGCCCATATTAGCCGTTGGCTCCTTAATGCGCATTATGCTAGCAGTAACAGAGAGCTTCCATGCTCGTGAGATGTGCCTGACATTGGCTTAATTCACCATTTGAGTCAATACTTGGCCACAGCATACAAATCTTAAAGGAAGGTTCACTAGTTGCAGGTAAACCCCGAGGCGATTTTGAGGGTGGGATGAACCATGCTCCTTTAGGATCATTTAAGAAATAGGCTCTTCCCACAACAACACTCTATAGGCTGAGGAACAAAAGAGGATCTTGGTACCACAACTACTACGCAACTAGTGTGTAAGGAGCAGCCATTAGGCTAATGAGGGCCAATGGAGATCCCAATGAAGCCATCAGCATTCACTCACAATGACAATGTAAGACTAACACCTCAGGAACTGAATGGAAGGGATTGGGAAGGAGGGAGAGCTTGTACGGACGAGTGAAAAGAAACGGAGAGTCCAAGTAAAACTTGCGTGAGTGTCTAGAGGGAGGAGGAGGGGGGAGAAAACACAACTTTTTGCTCAAATCACCCAATCAAATCACATTGCGATTCAGAGTAGAAGAGTAGGATTTGAGCTCTGGAATAAACAATGGCTGTAAACCGTGTTGATTTGGGGAGATGGTTCACAGTTTAGCCAAAAAACACTCCCGGTTGAGGCTTTCAAAGACCCAACCGTTCATTCTCTTTTTCTGCAGAGCGCTGACGCATAACATCGCGGCAAAGCGTTTTTTTTTTAAATAATTGATACTAATCCAATATTGGCTAGTATGTTTTTTTATTCACTAGTAACTATTCATTAAACACTAATACACATTAGTAACAAGTAACTATTTAATTTTAGCTGTTAACAAACTGCACATTGTTTATATTGAATTCCATGTAAACTTGTGCTTCAGATATCATCTATTCACTCCCAACTAGTATCTATTCTAATGGTTTCTGCAACCGAGTTTAGTTTTACTAGTAATTGTACATGATAGTAAAACTTGTTTTTTGTTACAAGTCATTATCCAAATAATAGCATATATTCCAGATTTACTAGTACTTTTAGGATACTAATACCTATTTTAATGACATTAATTAATTTCATGACAATTATCTCACTAGTTTCAGTTGCTTTTTTTTTTTTTTACTTGTAATACGTAATTACTAGTTAAAACGGCGACCTTACAGTTTAAGCTAAATTAATATAAATGATTTTATTAGAAAATGTATTTAAAATGTTACTAGGAATTGGTATGCGCACTAATAAATAGTTACTGAAACATATACTTATCTATTTGAAGAGTTATACTACATTTAAAAACAAGTACTGTTATAATGAATAGTTATGAGTGACATTGAAAAAAATACTACTCCGTGTTGGATTACTTACAAAGTAATTTAAGAGAGAGTACTAGTAAGAAAAACAGACTAGTTAAGGAATAATTGTTAAATCGGCATGCCATAGCAGCAGTTTGCTCGTACCTTCAGTGAAATACTCTCGGGCTTTCTCATAACTTTCAAGATCAGCTCTTGGTTGAGGGCGCCTCTCGGTTTGCTGAAGGAAGAACGAGGAACGGAGAAAAACAAAGCGAAAAAGTTATTTTTCCGACGGCAACAACCACATCCATGCGTCTGTCAACACGCGGTGGTGTCTGACTTACCTCAGAATCGGATGAACTGCTGTTATTTTCCGACTCGTTCACTAGAGAAGACTTCACGTCGTCCAGATCTCTTTCGGCAGACACGTTTTCGGAGATTTTCTCCTCTTGTTCGCCCTCATCTTTGAATGAGATCATTTCATCATTCGCCCCCAACTCATCCCCTCCACCTCCGTTAAGCTGTGGCATGTTCTCGAGCGTCTCGCGACGGTAACAAAATCAAGAGTTTGTGTCGACTCTGAAGTGCACGAGAACGGCGCAGTCCACTCAGCGCAGGAAAAACACACGAGAGCTTTCAGAAATAATCCTTGACACATGAATTTAAATCCAAGTTGTGCATGATTACTTTAAGAAGTTTTCACACAAAGCTCGACAGTTTCATCGGTATCCCCGCAACAAACTGCAAACTCAGCTCCAGACGTGAAGCGCCGTGTCCTCTGCTGACAAACTTACCAAACACAAACAAAAAGGCTGAAATAGGTGCGTTCTCGCCCGATTCTACATTCCACAATGGCCAAACCAATCGAGCGCAAAAGTTGAGCGACTCTTTCTTTACAACGCGCAACCGTCAGTAAGCGCGCGTGCTAATTGCAACAAAAGTTGCAACAACGGTCGCGGCGCCTCCGCGGTCTCTATCCCAAAGACGTCTTTCAGTCACATAAAACACAGCTTCCTCCCCAGATCAGCTGCTCGTTTCTTCCACATTGCGAAATGCAACCGTCATGTTTGGTGAGCTGAAGCACGAACACTGAAAACGGTGCGTTCGGACGCGAAGACGCTCCGTTTCCCTGTGCGTTGAGCTGCGGATGGGGAATGCGCGAGCGAGTGTGTGTGTGTGTGTGTGTGTGTGTGCTGGGCGAGCAGAATGCAGAGGAGGAGTTAAGCGCTGAAAAACGACACTCCATTCAGTACACACACACACACACACACACACTCAGAGAAGTTTAAAGGAACAGTTTGTTCAGGGCTTGATTCTTGAAATAGTTCAATGACACAGGGTTTGGGGTTGCGTTATTTAAGCAATATCAACAAGAGCAGTTCAGCACAGCTGTAATTCGCATTCAATACAACAGCAGGACTGTTTTTATAAAACAGTTCATTAAACAAGTTATTAATATCAAGTAGCTTACATCTCTGTCAAAATTGTCAAGTTAGTTTTTTTTTTTCTTTCTCCATGAATGAAATGCTCCGAAGCTCTTTGCAATCACCAAGCAACAAAAAGAGTGGACTGGATTGGCTGTATGAGTGGACCGGAGTGGTTGAGTGAGATTCGCCGCTCCACTCAAAGCGTTCTCTTGAATTCCACTCCGGGTTTTCCATTTCCCGCATAGTGAGCGAAACTCGCTCTGAGGCCGATGCGAAATATCGTAGGCGATAATTATCAGTTCCGCACACTAATTAGTAAAGTTGATTTTACAAGTGGGAATTTTATATTTCTAGATTATACCCAAGTTGCAGAGTTGTGGCGTTAGAAGGGGCATGTCAGTGCAACCACTGGCGGCAACAACAAGCCTGAATTGTAGGCTTTAGCAAAGTTTTTTTTTTATTTATTTTTTTAATTTTCAACAAACATCGGGCTTTGCATACTAAAAAAGGTTTTTAGCAACAAATTGATGTTATAAATGTTTTTGCATAAAGTTGCATAAACGTTTATTTGTTTTGGCAAATTTTCGCGGACAAAACCCCATAGGCTAATTTCAATAGGAATCAACGAGATTGGGAATTTCGAAAGGTGAACAATTTTCCAACGGAGGTCTCGCGATAGGTAAAAGTTGGTCACGTGGATTCGTTGCATTGACCAACCGAAAGCTGCTTGGTTTGAAAGTGACTTCTGTATGATGTGCTTCATGCTTCCCTAAATGATTCCCTAGTGTGCTAATACCATGCAGAGATCAATTAAATGATATCAAAAAATATATAAATTAAAATAATAAATGTAAAATGGAATAAAAATATCTGAAAGCATCCATACTATTTTTTTCATCTTGATGCCAGAGAAAACTACGGAACCCCACACATGAGGTGCAAGGAAATATATACAGTATATATACTATATATACAAACACTGAATAGTTATAATAATATTTATATTATTGTTGATATGTTTAATCTTTGACATTTCTTGGGTTAATGGTATGGAGTGAACCCCAAAATATGGGGGTTGTAGCAGTTACTGTTATAATAATTTACAGCTGGTTAGTTGTGTATTATGATTGCCAAAAATATTTAAACAAAAATTATTAAACATTGGCACATAACTTTTGTGCTACTTATATGAGTGATGCCTCAAATCTTGCAACTTGGTTTTCTGTAAAGATTTATTTTTGCCTTTATTGGGACATGAAAGTACAGCACTGAGCACTGCCCAAAAAGCTTGTTGAAGAGAGGAGTGCTATTACTTTTCTAAGCCATCTGATTTATTATGGCTGCAGCTCCTTATAAAAGTGAGTTTTTTGTTCACTTGTCATGGTCCATTGATATTTGAGCAAAAATCAATGATGTCATAGTCAAAGGTGGTAGAAGAAGAAGTTGGACAAGAATACGCCCCCCCCCCCCCCCCCCCCCCCATCACCGCAGATCACAAAAGAACAACTAGGGCATAACCATCAATGAAGGAGACAGACACTAACGTTCACCCCCATCCAAACACTTAACCGAGCTTCAACTGCCGAAAGCAGGCCCATGCGGAATCAGAATTCACTGGAAAGATCTACAGATTTCCATAGAATTGGAGCGCTTATCATTTACGACATACTAAACATCTCTTGCATGTTTGCATGCCATTTGCACATTTGCTTTAAAAATGTTTTGGCTAATTTGATTATGCTTTCAGCTGCCAATATGAGTCTAATACACTGAGCCCCATTTTAATTTTTCCCCGAAATAAGCACAAAAAGAAAAAAGAAAGCCTGGGCCTGTAAAGAATTAATACAACAATTCAATGTATTTTAGTAATTTTTTAAGACCTATGATGTTTCATGCTGACTTGATTGCTAAAATGATAAAAAAAAGAAAAGCTTTCCATGGTTGAACACAGACATGCAGAACTATTCATGGTTTTATTTGTTTGTTTTTCTTTAAAATGGCGTTTCTCATTCATAGTTGACTTTAATGCTCCCTGTCTGTGAGGGTGTGATAATAGGAGTCTGTATAAGTCTCTAATGACATGGTGTTGTCGTAATTGCTGGTTACTGCTGTGTGGGGCAGTGTGTGCATGTGAGAGTAGTGGAATAGTAAGGTAGGGCTTGTTGTAGGGATAAATAGGTCTGTTAGTGAAGGCTTTACCCTCGTCAGTGATGAAATCCCCTCTCAGAACACAGTGATCCCAAAACCTCCCACTGAGAGACGGCCCAAGGGCAGCAGCGTAGCAGATCTGTTCCGCCAAGACCAAATACATTAACATTGTCATATCCATCACCATGCTAAAATCTTCTAAGGGTTGTCATGATTGAACTATAGTCATAAAGGCAACGTGGTTGAAATTTTAATTTAACATTACAAAGAGAATTAAATGTTTACTACATATTATGGTTGCAGGTTTGAGTTTTATTGAAGTCTTGTGGTAAACATGCCTCTTAGAAAGGTTATTTAAAGCTGCACTGTAAATCTGTACAATTTACAGTAAGAAACAGCAGCTGTGGTTTTACTGTAAAAAAATTACCAATTTCAGAAAATTGTTACTATAAAAAAATATGGTAGCAATGTTTTAGGTCTCACCGTTTAAAGTTAAATTTACAGAAAAAGTAAAGAATTTCATAAAATGATATAATGTACACATATACAGTATATAATCATGGTAAAAAGGTTGACATTTTAAGATCATTCCTTACAAATGTAACAATGACGCAAAGATAAAGTGCTCAAAAAGAGGATGACAAGTGAAAGTACAGTCACACTTTATTTTAAGGTCCAATTCTCACTATTAACAAGCCATTAACTACTACGTTTGCCTCAAGAAACTCATGCAGAAAATGTGCTTTATAAGTACAAATAAACAGCCAATATGTTAATAATAGGTATGCTAATAAGCAACTAGTTAATAGTGAGAATTGGTCCCTATATTAAAGTGTCACTGAAAGTACATAATGTAAGTAAAATATAAAATTACTGTTTTACAGTGAAAGAGATTAAAGACAAATTAATTCGCTTCTTTTTCCACATATCTTTATTTGTTGTTGTTTTCAGAAAAAAAAATCTACATGATACAAATAAATAGAGTAGATTTCTGTTTATGTAAAAAAAGAAAAAAAAAAGTCTGTTTGGTGTGAGCCATTCATTTATATTTTTACACCTGTATAAAAACACAAATTCAGTTTTGTAGAATCCCCCACTTTGATCTGCTGGGCATAAACATATTTCCCACATATGTAAATAAAAAAAAGCGATGATTAAAGTGAATTCTCATTATTAAAGAACTTACTGTGTTATGCAAGCACACCCACTGTGACTCACTGTACATTCAGCTCCACAATACAAATACAAAGATGATATGTCACAATACGCGTGTGAAGTTAAGCGCATTCTCAGTTACAGGCTCCTCCTCTGAGCTGCTTTTTATGAAAGTAAATCTGCTTAAGAACCATGTTGGGAACTCTCCCGTGTGGTTTTAAGAAGCTAAAAATGGAGAAAAGCTGGCATAAGAATCCGTCTTCCCAAAGAATGCAGTGACGCCGCTTAGTTTGGACTAGCTATTGCAAATGAGCACTGGAGGGTGCATCTGAGTGCAAGCACACAAACATGTGTCAGTGCTTGTGTATTTTATTGTGTTCTTGTTGTATTTGTGCCTTCCAGTGTTTATATCCGCACTGCCACGCAAATCTCTGGTTCAGGTGCATGGCTCAACTCTATTCTCTCTCTCTCTCTCTGCTGATGGGGTGTTTGTTGAGGTGATTACTCCATATGGGTCATTAGTTCTTAAAGCGTAGTGCTTCTTTAGCAAATCCAAAGTATTCTGTGTGTCCAGGCCAATCACTGGACTGCTTAACTCAACCGCAGCTAGAAAACAGAGCTTCAGCCCACCAGGTTCAATTATTATACAGAGAGAATAAAAGGAGGCCTCTGATGAATGATATATGCTGTTTGATTCCACACGAGGCGGTTTTGTTTTTATCCTAGTAGATTTAACAATGCAATATTTAAGTATCCAGCTCAATGTAATAATGCTCTTTTTGGTGCAGTTTGGGTCAGTATTTTTTTTTTCTTTTGAAAGAAAGTAATACTTTTATTCAACAGGGATGCATTAAATTGATCAAACGTGACAGTAAAGACACTAATAATGAAAGATTTCTAATTCAAATAAATGCTGTTCTTTTGAACTTTCTGTTTAAAATGAAAGTGTCATGATTTCTACAAATATATTAAGCAGCTGTTTTCAACCATGACATTTTAAAATATATTAATAGACAACAGTTATTTCAAATTGTAATAATAATGTTTCAGGTTTAGGCAGCCTTGGTGAGCAAACAATATTTGAAAAATATTACCAAACCAAAACTTTTGAATGGTATATAATGACTTAATACACAATACACGTATAATACACTTTTTCTATGTTTTACTTTCTGAATTATTATTATTTTTGTTACTTTTGGGGGGCATAAAGTCAAAATTGTGGTGATACGTCTGCATCTGTCCTGATATCATAATGAAGAAAAAAGACTTGAGAAGAAAACCTTAAGTAGTTTGGCAAAATGTTGTATTATTTCTTAAGAAAAAAAAAATCTATTTTACTTGAAAAAGCAAAGCAGACCTTCATGGTTTTGATTAAAAACCAGATAAAAAATTGTGGTCCGACACCCTCAAAAATTATGCATTAATAAGGATATTTGTAAAAAAAAAAAGTACCTTGATTTGATATATTTATTATATAAATATATTACATGCATGTATAAGTATATTGAAGATATAAGGAAAACATGAAATCTGTATTTTTTTTTTTTGCATTGCTAAGATTTCTAAATTTGCATTTCTAAATGTTTTTGAATTTCTAAGAGTGCATTTCTAAGAACCTGGCACACACTTTTTAAAACTAGATTATTAAAAGATTGAATAATCTTGCATACCTTTTATAACCGTGCACACTTTTATTTTAAGTACATGGTACAAGCAGAAAGCTAAATTTGATATTAATACTAGATATATTTTTTACAACAAATGGCATGGGG